ATATATATATATATAGCCCCTCGTTTGTTGTCCTCTTCTCTCTCTCTGCCTACGGTTTTACCGGGCAGTTCTGTTTGTGACGATATATATATATGAGTCGGTGAAACTCCGACAAAACAGTTTGTCACAGCCCCTCGTTTGTTGTCCTCTTCTCTCTCTCTGCCTACGGTTTACCGGGCAGTTCTGTTTGTGACGATATATATATATATTTTCCATTCCAAATATACACAAAAAAAAAAAAAAAAAAAACTTAAAAAGAAGAATACAAAGAACTGTCAACCAAAAATCCCTCCCCCCCAAAAAACCTTTTTTTAATTTTTTTTTTTGAATTTCTCTTCTCCACCTTTTCTGTTTTGTATTTTTTATAATTCTAAAAACTTATCTTTTTTCAAAAATAAATAAATAAATGGGTTGTAGGGATTAAAAATCCCTACAACCCCATATATATTTACCCATTATTTAATTCAGGAAAAATATGGTAAATTTGCGTCCGTTGCGTGGACCGGGTCGGCCGCGGACGCGGCCATATATACGGCCGCCATCCGAGCTGGACCCCATGGACGCGTCCGCGGGTGTTTCATAGCAAGTTTCGTCTTCTCCACGCCAAATGACCCCACATTCTGCAGCATTCTTCAATGCTTTTTTTTTCACGTTTTGAGTTACGGTTGTGGGTTATGAGGCTGGAAGTCCAGATTCTGATTGAGATGCCTGGATCCGACGCACACTGCGAGGCCTATTTTAGCTGCACCTCTGGTGTGCCTGAGCCTCACATGCCGAACCTCCACTTGGTCGGGCCTGTTGGCGGAAGTGGGCTGAGGTGGCCCAGAGGGCCAAGCCTCCCCATGGCCCCCTTTTATACTGGCATGGGCCTACGGTAAAAAAAAATCAAAAGATGTTTCATTGGGCCTTACACTGACTTGAGTGAATTGGCGGACAATTGGTCAGGGGCATACTTGCAACTCTTGGGTGGTCCACGTCATTGTTTGGACTTTCTGAAGTTTTTTTCCCATTTATTTATTATTGGGGAGTAGCCCCCAAGATTCAGGGTTTAAGGTTTTGAGCCCGTGATCTGTTCATCAACAGTTACATGTGGGTGTCAGCCACCAGGCAAGTACCTTACAGTGATTACCCTTATTTTTTCAGATTGATCAACTGAAGTCAACTCATTCATGCTGTTGGAATTACCTCTGTCTGGAACTTTGTGCATTTTGTAATGCGAGGTTGCAGGTGCAAGTCACTGCTTATCGCGAGAGGGAACCCAACAAGAAAGACTATATAGAAATGGAGATATATGTTGAGAAAGAAACTCAGAAGGGGATTCTTCTTGGGAAGGTATATAGCTATCCTCTCCTTGCTCTCTTTTCTTCTTGCCCTCTCCCCACCCCCACCCCCCCCCCCACCCCCACCCCCTCCCCCTCCCCCTCCCACCCCACCAACCGCACGCTCCCCGCCGCCCGGTTCTGTGGAACTCGTGTCGGTGTAGTTTAGGTGTATAGCTGACTATCGGTGCACAGGATGATACTTGCTTTTGGTTTGTCTCCCTCGCTTCAACGAATTCTTCTGATGGAGTGAAACTGTATGTCTGAACGAAGGTGCTATCTTGGGCTTGGATGTGTACATTATGGGCGACTTTTATGAAATTGTGTGTTATCTTGGGCTCGTATGTACATTTGGGGTGATTTTTTTGAAAATGTCTGGTGCCTTTCACTCCCTGGCAGTGTTGCCTTCAACTGGTTTTAAACTTTTAAGCGAATTGATCAAAGTTCACGAGTGTGTGACATTCTGCGTATGACAAATGCAGTGTTTGGGTGATTATGTGATAACAATAATGGAGGGAAAATTGGACCTGTTTCTCAGGATGATGTGGTCATAGTGGCAGTGGTGGTGCTAGTGATTATGAAAGCGGTGGACAATGGGAGAAGGGAGGAAGGGGAGGAGGAGCGGGCAGACGAGGGGGCAAAGTGAGGGGGCGGAGCAGGGCGAGGAAGAGGGGGTGGAGGGCAGGGAGGAAGTGAAGGAGGAAGAGAAGGGATTGGAGGGGGAGGAATGGGAGGAGGAGGAGAAGCAATGAAATATCTCTTTTCCTATTCTGCGGCTTTTCTGCCTTAACATGCAGGTGGCAATGTGAGAAAAGTAATGGGAGAAAAAGAGGAGCAGGTTTTGGTCTGGTAGTGGTAGTAGTGCTGTCGTGGCAATGGTTGTGAAGGAAAAGGAGGGTGAGTAGGGAAAGCCGGCGAAGGGAAGGAGGAAAAGGAGGAGGAGGAGGAGGAGGAAGAAGAAAGAAGAAGAAGAAGAAGAAGAAGAAGAAGAAGAAGAACTGTCGCAGTTTCTCTTTTTCGGTTCTGCCCTTTTATTCAAAGGTATGGCAGTGATTAATGATCACTGTATATTCTGTGCTCCAAATGTGCAGGGAGGAATGGCTCTGAAGGAGCTTGCAGTTGCTGCTCGTAAGGACATAGAGCAGTTCGTTGGCAAGCCTGTGTACCTCGAGGTGTGTGTAAACTGCGGTGCCTATCCTCCTTTCCCGGTGTGCAAATTTCGTCTGACCCATTTTCCTCTCTCTTGATTTATTGGTGTGTGTGTGTGTGTGTGTGTGCGGGCGCACACACACACTGTTTGCGTATAGGGTGATGTGATATCTTCAGCAAATGCCACCGGAACAGAAAACACTGAAACCGTGTTTCCCACCAACAGTACAATCCAAACGCTTTCCCAAACCACACCAGCGCAACGAGGACAAATAGACAAGAAATGTGGCAAAGTAAGGAGAGAAACACACGGAAAAAGGAAGGCGAAAAGCACCAGACTGTTTCGTTGGACTCTCCCCGACTCAGCATGAGGCTGACCCCCGAATAGTTTGCAGAAAGCCCATATTCATGCTTCTAGCCGCAGTCTACTTCATCCCCCGTCGCCTTTGGACGGCTAGGGAGGTGGCGTCGGGGCAGTCCACAGATACAGAACAAATCAAAGCAGACCATCATACTCGACAGTCGGTAGGTTGATGCCACCATCAAAGTTGAGGGAGCGCTTTGACTAATGTTTGTCACCACCGGGGAACAGGAACTCTTTTATCACACTGACTGTTTGGCACACCTTGAAGGTGGTGCACGCTTGGATACTGAGGAGAAAATGGGAAGCACCACAGTGTGCACAAAGTGGACGATGTAAAGAAAATACATAGTACATAAAGAAAAGAACTCACAAAAAATGTGTGTATGTGTGTGCGTGTATGTGCATTCATCACAGCCTGTTTCCCCTACTGTGCACACTCGTGCCCTCTCTACGTGTATCACCGTATCCATGTTTTCTGAACTTTTCTCAGTTTTTTCTTCTTTTTTAATTCATTGGATTTCATTCATCTAGTTCCGTCTGGATTCAAACTCAGGTCTGCATTTCAACAGTTCGTGTATGTACCAACTGATCGTCTCCTCCTCTGTCGTTCTCTCTAGCACCCTCTTCCTTAATCATGATCACATGTTTGTACAGTGCTAATCACTCACTACGGTCAGGGCATTTTTTGGGAATGAGTTTCTCAAGTGTTTCAAGTTTCCGGTCATCATCTAACTCTTTCAGGGGCTGCAATTCTGAATAGGCACTGTTATTGACTCTCTGTTTTTTTGGCATAGAGCGTCCTCTAGTAGCGTCTTCACCCGAAAAGAATGCCGGTCATTATTGCTCTATCTAGACTGAAAGTTGCCCCAACTACAGCTATACTGACTGGGCGCTGTGTTCGGGTGAAGCCGGCAGGTGAACAAGAGATCTCCAACTGTCTGCTTGGTTGGCGAGTGAACGATGGTTCCTTGGCATGCTTAGCGATGATGTTATTGCAATGCGGATCCATGCCAGGCGAGTCGCACTGGTGAATTTGCGCTGGCTGATGTGTGCATGTGGTCTGGGCTGACCTCCATGGTGTGTGCTGGTGGACAGGTTGCGCCATCTGGCATTTGCTGAGCAATGCCTGCTGGTGCAATCTACTGGGGATTAGGCACTTTTTCTGCCGGAGATTCAATGACGGATTACCGTGCAAATGGAAAATTGGAAACTGATCCAGTAGATTTCCTCTCTCTCTCTCTCTCATCATCCCTCCCTCCCTCCCTCCCTCCCTCCCTCCCTCCC